CAAGAGGACAAATATCAATATTTCCAGGTAATGATAAATTGAACTCACCTAATTGTGCTTTTGCCTAAAAAACCCTCTAGCATGTAATAAAGATGTGTGTGTCATTTTATTTTATAAAGCATATATTTACTAAGATGGAAATAATGAGAGAAAAGGTGACTTTGGAAGCTATAATACATATGGACAAAGGAGTAACCGACATAGTATACCCAAAGAGGCCAAACTAAACCAGCCATGGGGAACATTTCACATACTCTACAAAATCTTCCAAAGGCTCAGGAATTAGCAGCACAAGGTACTAGAGGCGAGGGGAACTACAAGGAGAATCAAATAAAAACTGCTTCAAAAGAACTGAGATTTCTAGCTCCCACTCCCACCCTCCTTGTCTGTCTCTCACCCTCCAGCACACAGGACTGAAAACTAGAGGTTTGTTTTCTGCAAAGAGTAAGAGAAGAGTGTCTCTTGATCACAGGTAATGAAATTCCCTGCAAAACAGGATCATTAAATGCTAAGACAAACCCCTCCACCTGATTCTCCCTCTTGACTACCAGAACCCTTCCAGACAGATGTGAAGCATCTTCTCTAGAGAATATGACCAGCCAACAGGAAAGACACAGACATGAAGATCAGGTATCACCCCCAACAATCCAGCTATAAGACAGCTACAGTGAAGCTCAACATGCAATCAGAGCTTCAGGTTTTTAGTTCCCCACCCCTAACAATGAGCTAATAACCTGGGCAAATGAAATGGCTGAGAAAAGCCTGTAACATGAAAGAAAGAGACTAAAATAAACAAACAGGTCAAAACTATTCAGAATGAAGAAAACCGTCATTAAAATTCTCAAAGAAAAAGAGAATAGTGTATTCATGAAACTAGAATAAGACTGCTATATGGAAACAAAAGAGCTCTTAAAAAATAAAAATGCAAAAGCCGAAATAAATTTAATAGAAATCATGGAAGATAAATTTTGGGGAAAAAACTAGAAAAGCACAGAGGCAGAAAAATAAAGAAAATTAGGGAGCCTGATTCAGCAGCATCTAAATAATATGGGGTTTGGACAGAAAGAACAGACAAAATGGAGGTGAGGAAAACATTAATGAAATATTTAACATTTTCCAGAACTGAAAGCTGTATGTAAGTTGCTGAACTAAATGAGGCACTAGCACCCAGAAAAATAGATTAAAACAGACTCATACTAAGACACTTTACTGTGAAATATCACAACACTGGGGACAAAGAGAAAAAAAAATCTCATGTCAAGAATCAGGAGTCGGAGTGGTTTTGATCTGCTCAATGACAACACCTAAAGATAGATGATGAAATGATGCCTTTAAGAATATTCCCAGCAGGCCAAGGGTAATGGCTCACACCCGTAATCCTAGCACTCTGGGAGGCCAAGGCAGGAGGATCACTTGAGGTCAGGAGTTTGAGACAAGCATGAGCAAGAGCAAGACCCCGTCTCTACTAAAAATAGAAAGAAATTAGCTGGACAACTAAAAATATATAGGAAAAAAAAAAAGGAATATTCCCAGCTGAAAATCCTTTACTGTGTCAAACCATCAATCAAGTGTGAGGACAGTTAATAATTTTTAGACTTAACCTACCACAATGTTTTTTGACAGAAAGGAAAAAAAAAGACATGCTGCCATCTGAGCATGAAACAAAAAGGCAAAATAAAAAGAGGAAGAGATGGGATATAGGAACTAGAAGTCCCAACTCAGGAGAAAGGTAACGAACGGTAAGTTCCAAGAAGATGGTGACAAATGTGCACCAGGTATAGAGAATAATGAGTCCACACTGGAAAGGTCAGAAGGCTCCAGGAGTGCCATCTTCAAGAAAATGAAGTTGATAAATTTGAATAAATACACTGAAAGTTGATTTAGAAAACAACCAGAAATTTGGGGGCTGAATTATAGATAAATAGTACATATGGAAAACTAAGCAAATAAATATTAACTCCAGGAAAATAAAAATACAGGAATGGAGAACCACGGTTCACTAATGGACCACCTAAACAACAAACACTGATCTGATCAAAATTACTAATATAATTATTTTGAAACGATTGTGGGAAGAGTATGTGATGAGTATATGTATATGTGGTAGGGGAGAATGTGAAAGGAGCTAAATCTTCATTTTCCAAAATATTTAAAACCAAAATATCAATAATCGGCAACATAAACATGCCATTTACTGACATAGAGCTAAATGCCAAAAGAATCAGCTAAAAAGTTCAAAGGGAATAGCCTCCTTGGAAAAAGAAATGCAAATCAAGAGACTTGGGGAGTACTGTTTGCCTTACATCTGTATGTGCATTAACAATTTTAGTAAAAGATAAAAACTTAAAAAAATACATCTATCATATGTAACAGTAACTAGCTTGCATGTAGAAAAGTCAAAGAATTGTAACCATGCTTTTGGAGTTAAAAACAAGCAGGGCTTTTTCATTAAAGACAGAAATCTGGTGAAGACAAAGTTATCCTTAGAGGATATACTTTATTAAATTCTATTTATATATACTATGATATAAAATATATTTCAATAAAATATTTAACTAAATGTAAGATATTTAGACGATAAGGGGTTTTCTAGTAAAAATACAATGTGAGATGTAAAAATTAATAACCTATAAAGAATATTTTCAATTTTTAAAAAAGATACAGCTATTCTCTGTATTCATAAATATAAAGATGTAACTTACAGAAAATGAAACTTTTCAGTCAACCTTATTTTATTTAATTTACTACAAAACTGCTCCGACTTACTGCAATGTTTATCTAGCGCCACTCTAAATCATTTTCTTTAACTGGCAAATAATCAGTTCCATTTTAACATGGAACTGGGGCTCAAAAATCATTGACTTGTAATCAAATACAATTCAGATTAGAGTATTATGTTACATTAAATTGACACAGATCTTGCTGTATAAAATATTTTATAAACTACTAGAGGTAGCTCATCAATTTGGAATGCAGTCATGTGGCATATAATGATGTTTCAGTCAACAATGGACCACACATACAATGATGGTCTCATAAGATTATAATAAAGCTGAAAAATTCCCCAAAGAAATTTCACAAAGGAGGGTTTAGCAGAAGCTTTTGCAGAACTCAACAAGCTCCAGGAGGTTATTTTAGAAGGTGTTGATGATCTTCACCCTGTGTAGGCCTAGGCTAATGTCTGTGTCTTAGTTTTTAACAAAAAAGTTTAAAAAGAAAAAAAAATTCATACAAAAAAGCTTAGAGATGAAGAATATATATAAAAAAAGAGATTTTTGTACATCTGTACAGTGTGTTTTAAGCCAAGTGTTAAAACAGTTTTAAAAGACTCAAAATTTTTTTTAAAAATTTAGAAGTTTATAAAGTAAAAAAGTAACAGTAAGCTAAGGTTAATCATTGAAAAAGAAAAAAAAATTATAAATTGAGTGTGGCCTAAGTATATACTGTTAGTTTATAATGACCTAGATCTTTACATTCACTTGCTGACTCACCCAGAGCAACTTCCAGTCCTACAAGCTCCATTCATGGTTAAGTGCCCTATACAGGTGCACCATTTTTTTTAATCTTTTATACTGTAACCACATTTTTACTGTACCTTATCTATGTTTAGATATGTTCAAATACACAAATACTTACCATTGTGTTATAATTGCCTATAGTATTCAGGACAGAAACATGCTGTACAGGTTTATAGCCTAGGTACAATAGGAATAAGTGTGTAGTATGGTATACCATCTAGGCTTGTGTAAGTACATTCCATGATGTTTGCACAACAAAATCACCTAACAACACATATCTCAGAATGTATCCCTATCATTAAGGGATGCATGACTATCATTTATGCTTACCTCATTTAACACACAGGGTGCTCACCTTTGTTTATACCACCCTTTAAAGTACTGAGCAAAGTATTACATAAAAATACAATGCATTACATTAACAATAAACACAGAAAGTATTTTTGAGGATGAAAAAGAAGTGGAAAACAAATTCTCTTTTCCAGAGCTATAATGCCACTCAGACATCCCTTCTGAGCATGAACGCTCAGGTTAAAAAGAAGGTGAAACACAGGCACACTACACAGAAAATCCTTGCATGAAGTGCTAACACAGTCCAAATATTAGAAAACTTTGATTCTATGTGTCTGGATGAAAACCATGCACACAATGCCCTATTTATTTAACAAAGTTTTTGAAATTTACAAAGTCCAAAGAAATCCTATCTTGATGAAAACAGGTCATATCCAATCCAAAATGAACATAACATTTTAGGTTTTAACATATTTCTTATTTGAAAGACCTTCTGGTTATAAGAAACTTAAGCAATATGGTAATTTGTTCAATATGGTGGAAAGAATGCTCTAAATAGATGAAATTATAATTGAACAACGGTACTATTTTAACCTTTTACTCATTGCAAATTTCCCTATGACAAGTGTAAACACTAGAGACAACTGGATATCCTTTCTAGCAATTCACTTCTAGTAAAGACTGAACTGGGTACCATGTTTTGAAAATAAATGGTAATAAAATGAACTAGAAATATGGTAATTTGTGTCTTTCATAAATTTTTAAAAAGTTACATAAAAATATTGTTTCAGATACTGCAGGATGTTTCACAAGTCCTTTTTTATAATGACCGTTTTCTGCTCTAACAGAACTTTCTTCACACACTTTGGTTTGATAAAACAGCATTAATGAAGTAGTTTACATTTAGATGCAGTGAAAAGATTGCCCAGGGGCCTGGCTCTAGCTTGCCTGCACACATTTCAATATAGGTAGCCCCTCACAAAATTATGAGGTAACTATCTCTCCTTGGCTCTTATATCCATAGCTCTTTCCTCCATTTCAGGGCTTTCTTTCCTATTCTTATCCCTCAATTGTTCAATAGTCTCAAATTGTCCTGGTCCTACAAAAATAAGCAAGGCCCCAAATACTGCTGCACAATTCTATTACTTGTCCCTTCTTGGGTTCACTCATATTCTCTATTTCAACACTTACCATGCTAAATTGTCAACAGATGATTTTGTCAGAAGGAAAAGGAAAAAAGAAGCTATATGATTTCTTGAAATTCCCCTCCACTTGTAGAATCTAATACATTATCTTTCCTTATCTCTTTTCTTTAAATCTCAGAAAAAAGATCCTCCTCTACAAGGCTGCTATCTACAAAATGAATCAAGTCCCTCCTGCCCACTGTGGGATCTATGGGTTTTCTCCTACAACTTCAATATTTTTTCTTCATTTGATACTTCTACATCTATAAATATGCTAACATCTTCCCCATCCTTAGATAATAATTTTTTAAAATCCCTATTTTGAACCACACTTCTCTTTTACGTCACAGCCTTATCTCCTTCCTTTTCCCTATCACACCAGGTTTCTCTAAAGAGTAGTTCACAAGTGCACCACCTCATCAGTTCTCCATTCCTGCCATCTCAGCCACTGCTTTCCCCAAACTCCTTGGAAAAGATTAGGAATGAGCTAACTGACAAATCAATCACATATCTGAGCTGCAGCCTGCTCAAGGACAGACTATCACTGCTGTTGGTATCCCTCAGGTTGTCATATTTTTCTTGAGTAATCCAATTTACTTCTGGGGCTTCACCTAGTTTTTATATAATTTCTAAATATTATTTACAGACTCACTTTTCTCCACTTTCTTTCTTAACATTATTTCTCCTGGAAGTCCCAAAGATGGTGCCTTTAATTTACCATTTTCAAAACTACTCACTCCCCCTAACCAAGCCTACTCTTCCTAGTATAGATTCCACCTCTCATTTGTATTATGACATCACCACCTACCTCTTCTTCAAAGCTTATAATCTCAGAATCATCTAATTTTTTTTTTCTCTCTGACCATCAGATACCTAATTCTTTTTCAAATCTTTCCATTCTGCTTCATAAAAGTCTCAAAGTCATCCTAATCACAATTTCACTCTCTGAAAATTTCACTCCAGTGTCGTTTTTAAAGTACAACGCACAGACAGGAAAAAGCTAGATCTGCGGAGTTTTTTTTTCTCCAAATAGCTCAAAGAAGTAATGCTGTTCCTGACTGGCTGATTTGCTCTCACAATGTAACAGCCCTGTTTTGAATAAATTTTTATTGACTTAACCACCAATAAACAAAGCAGGTCAAAGTTTCATTATTTTATTACAAGAAAATATGTAGTAGTATAACTGAATCAGAATTGTCTGGAAGTATCTTCACACAGCTAATAAACACCAATAAACATGAAAGATGACTATAGGATCACTGCCACCTTTTATTAAATATTCAAATTTGAATCTCAAAACTATACTATTTTATTTTTTAGAGACAGGATCTAGCTCTGTCAACTAGGCTGGAGTGCACTGGCAAGATAATAGCTCACTATAATCTCCAACTCCTGGACTCAAGCAATTTTCCTGCCTCAGCTCTGAGTAGCTAGGACTACAGACGTGCACCACCACCAAGCCTATCTTTTTTTTTTTTATAAAAATGGGGTTTTCCTATGTTGCCTGGGCTAGTCTCAAACTCCCGGCCTCAAGCAATCCTTCTGCCTTGGCCTCCTAAATTGCTGGGATTACAGGCATGCCCAGCCTCTAAGTTTAGAATGATGAATTTCATTGACAGTTTCTGTTTTCAAGATAACACTTATTTTATATATACACTTACAAAAATACCTAGACTTCATAACAGATACAGGGACAAACTGGTTCTTAAATGCAGCCATGGTGGAGGTGACAGAAGAGAAGCCATCTGACTCCTTCGTCCCTCCACTGCCATCACCCTACTCTAAGTCACTATCATCTCTGCCTATCTGTTGCAGTACTCACTTAACTAGCTCCCTTACTTTCACTCTAATTCTCAACAATAATCTCCCAGAGTGGCTAGAACCATCATTTTAAAACATAAAACAGATTTTATTACTCTCCTGCTAAAACCGTCCAAAGGCTTCCCACTGTAGTTAGAAAAATATCCACTCTTCACATGACCTACCCAAGCCTTCATGATTTGGCACCCTGTGTACCTGAGTTCATCTTCTACAACTCTTCTCCTTGTCCACTCAACTACAGTCACACTGGTCTCCTTTCTGTTCTTCAAACTCACTCAGTTCATTTCCCATCTTTACCATTTTCTGCTCTCCCTACTTGAAATGAGCTTCCCAGAGGTCCACATGTACATCCTTACTCTCTTCATTCTGTCTCAGTGTAAATGTTACTTCCCCCAAAAGTGAACCCAAACACCCAATCTAAACTAGTCCCCAACCTTTACACACAGTGTCAGTCACTCTCGATCCTATTAGTTTCATTTTCATTGTAGTATTCATCCGAAATTATTTGTATGCCTGTTATCTGTCTCCCCTCACTAGAAATCCACTCATTGTTCTATCTGTGCTAGGCTTAGGAGTGCCTTGATACACAGTAGGCATTCAGATATTGATCAATGCCTGATGTCTCTCAAAGCCCTATCTCCTAAGCTTCAGATCCATACTTCCTTGCTTATATCTCCATAAATATGTCCCGTGGGCACCATAAACTGAGCATGTCCAAAACTTATGTTACTTCTTAAATCTGGTCTTCCTCCTGTGTTCCCTTCTCAGTTAATAGCACCCATGAGTAGCTGTTCAATCTTCTTTATTCCCTCTGTCACTAAGACTTTTTAATTTAAATTCTACATATTTCTCAATTATCCCCTGTTCTCTACCTCCACTGTGACTGCCTTAGCTCATACTCTCATCATCTCTCACCTTAACATCTAAAACCTTCTACAGGCATACCTCATTTTAGTGAACTTTACTTTATTGAATTTTGCAGATGTTGCATTTTTTACAAATTAAAGGTTTGTGGCAACCCTGCCTTAAGCAAGTCTATTGGTATCAGTTTTCCAACAGCATGTGCTTTGTGTTTATGCCAGGTTTCTATAATTTTCACAGTATTTCAAACTTTTTATTACTACTGTATCTGTTATGTTGATCTGTGGTCAGTGACCTTTCATGTTACTATTGTAATTGTGGAGTGCTACGAACTACACCCATACAAAACAGCAAATTTAATTGATAAATGTTGTACGTGTTCTGACTGCTTAGTACTTAAGGATATTGGACATTTCATACTTAATAATCTAATAATTCCAACCCTTATGAACAATTTTGATAGGTTCAAGACTTCAGTGGAAGAAGTTACTGCAAGATGTGGTGGAAACAGCAAGAGAACTAGAAGATTGAAGATGTGACTGAATTTCTGCAATCTCATGACAAAACAGATGAGGAGATGCTTCTTATGAATAAACAAAGAAAGTGATTCCTTGAGGTGGAATCTATTCCTGGTGAAGATGTGAATGTTACTGAAATGATAACCAGTGTGAATATTACATAAACTTAGTTGATAAAGCAGTGGCAGGATTTGAGAAGATTGACTCCAAAGTTCTACTATGGGTAAAATGATATCAAATAGCATTGCATGCTACAGAGAAATCTTTCATGAAATGAAGAGTCAAATGGTGTAGTAAACTTCACTGCTGTGTCACTTTAGGAAATTGCCACAGCAATTTCCCGAATCTTCAGCAACCACCAGCCTGATCAGTCAGCAGCCATCAACACTGGGGCAAGACCCTCCACCAGCAAAAAGATTACTCAATGAAGGCTCAGATGATCATTAGCATTTTGTAGCTTTAAAGTATTTTAAAATTAATGTATGCATATTTTTTAGACACAACGCTATTGCACACTTAATAGGCTATAGTATAAGCATAACCATAATTGTATATGCCCTGAGAAACAAAAAACTCATGTTGACTGGCTTTACTGCAACATTCATTTTATTGCAGTGGTCTGGAACAGAACCTACAATATCTTCAAGGTATGACTGCATTTATTTTCTTTACTTTATCTATCCTCATTACAACCAGTAGAGCAAACTTTCAAAAATACAAGTATGACCATGTTTCTCCTCTGGTTAAAATCTTTCAGTAGTTTTCCATCACCTATAAAATCCAAATTCCCTAATATGGCATAAGGGCCTTCACATCCTCTCGTTAACCGGCCAGTCCAAACATCTCTTACCTCTCCTTACAGGGGCCCTTTTAATTCAAGCCACACTGGACCATTTGCTCTTCCCTAAATTCACTGCTTCATACTGCTGTAACTTCAACAATTGTCTCAAGTGAAACTTTCCCTGATCCATGTTAGCAGATTTAGAATATATAGAACTGCTACTATATAGCAGAATTCCCCAACCTTTTTGGCACCAGGGACTAGTTTCATGAAAGACAACTTTTCCATGTGGAGGGGTTGGGGGGGATGGTTTAGGGATGATTCAAGTGCATTACATTTATTGTGCATTTTATGTCTATTACTATTACATCATAATATACAATGCAATAATTATACAATCCACCATAATGCAGAATCAGTGGGAGCCCTGAGCTTATTTTCCTGCAACTAAATAGTTCCATCTGGGGGTGAGGGGAGACAGTGACTGATCTGACAGGAGATGGAGCTCAGGTGGTGATGCAAGTGAAGGGGAGCAGCTGTAAATACAGATGAAGGTTTGCTCACTTGCTTGTCCACAGCTCACCTCCTGCTGTGAAGCTCAGTTCCTAACAGGTTACAGATCCATCGCAGACTGCAGACATACAGTATACCTAGTACAACCAATCCCTATTATTCATAAGTTCTGTATTTGTGAATTCACCTACTTGCTAAAATTTGTCATCCAATAATCAATACTTGCAGAGCTTTTGTGGTCATTTGTGAACATGCACAGAGTGGCAAAATATTTGAATCAACCAACATTGCACAGTCCCAGCTGAGGCTGAACAAGACAACACTTTGCTCTCTTGTTTTAGTTCTCATACTAAAAAAAAGTGTCCTTTCATTGTCTATTTAGTGCCACTTTTTTTTTTTGCATTTTTGTGTTCTATTATTTCACTGTCTAAAATGGCCCCAATCATAGTACTGAAGTGCTGTCCAGTGTTTCTAACCAAGAAGGCCATGATGTGCCTTATAGGAAAATGCATATATTAAATAAGTTTTGTTCAGGCATGACTAATAGTGGGGTTGGGTACAATGTTAATGAATCAATATTACATATTATATAAAGTGTCTTTAAACAAAAACTCTCACAAAACAAGGTTATGTATTGATCAGCTGATGAAAATATTGTGACCAAAGGCTTGCAGGAACCTAACCTTGTATTTCCCCTAGAAGCAAAAATAGTTCAATATTTGATAATTCAGTGTTTGCAGAGACTTTATAGGCTATAACTACCATGAATAATGAGAACTGACTATATTTTAATTTACATGTCTGTCTCCAACACAAAATTATTGGGCTCACTGAGGACAGACATGGCATCTTATTTATTTTTGAACTCTAGTTCTTAGTATTATGCCAGACACACTGCAGTTAACAAATATTTACGGAATGGAATTTTAAAATTCTGGTTTCTCATCACTGTAATGTGATTTCCTCTAATCTATTACCAGATAAAATTATCCTAAAGTAAAATTATTCCTAGTTAGGGTAAGATCTCCGTGTAGGCCAACAGTTACACATCGCCCCTCCACCTCAGTGAGGCCTTGCTCAATCGCATAATAGTCTGAATATCATCCTCTATTCCTGCCCCTTGCCTCTTTTATAGCCAAAGACTATGTTCTTTCAGTTCAAACTTAAAATCACAGTTAAATGGAAAGGCATTTTCAGACATTTACTTTGCCTCAGGTCAGTTATCCCTAAAGGGCACAGACCTAACAACTGTTAGACACCCTTACAGTCAAAGTGGAAGACTGAACACACATGCCCACATTCCCTCCCTTTGAGGGCCCAGTGAAATGACCAAACAGCTACCTACTTTTAAAAAGAATAAAACAGCAACAATACTAGAAGTGAAGTGAGTGCACAATAAGAGAAAGATTAGCAAACCAGAAGTTTTAGGAAATGGTCACAAGTTAGAAAACAGATGAGTAGCTTATGTGTCTGGCAAAAATTTAGGCTTGATAATCTGAAAATAATTCTCTCACATCTCAAAATGATA